ATTGTTCGGGAGAAGATTGTACTAAGGAGAATTGTCCGCAGGAAGATTGTTCGGAGGAGGATTGGTTCGAAGGAGGATTATCAGCAGGATTGTCCGCAGGAATATTGTCCGCAGGAATATTGTCCGCAGGAATATTGTCCGCTACCGACGAGTCGAGGAGAAAGATTATTCGGAGGAAGAGGATTGTCCGCGGGAGGATTGTTCGAAAGAGGATTGTTCGAAGAAGGATTGCCCGCAGGAGAATTGTCCGCAGGAAGATTGTAGACAGGAAGATTGTTTGGAGGAGGATTGTTCGAAGGAGGATTGTCCGCAGGAAGATTGTTCAGAAGAAGATTGTCCACAGGACGATTGTCCGCAGGAAGATAGTTTGGAAGAGGATTGTCCTTAGGAGGATTGTCCACAGGAAGATTGTTCGAAAGAGGGTTGTCCGCAGAAGGATTGTTCGAAAGAGGATTGTCCACACGAAGATTATTTGGAGGAAGAGAATTGTCCGCAGCAGTGATGGAAAAGTTCATCAAAGTTCCCTATGACTCGCGAGCTTTTCCCTTGGTGAACTTCATGAAATATCGCGAACTTTTCCAACACTGGTCCACAGGAAGATTGATCAGAGGAAGATTGTCCACTGGACGATTGTCCGCAGGAAGATAGTTCCAGGAAAGATCTTCAGAGACAATCAATGACGTTCAAGGAAAACGTTGGGGAACGACACTCATCCTGATGCATGTTGCTTCAAAAAAGATATGGCAACACTGTGACGGCATGCGAGCGGAATTGAAAGAATTTTCGGGATAGACAGAAGGATCAACAGGGATATTCAGGATATACTGAAAAATAGACAAAAAATCGAATAAGGATGTCTGGAGAAAAAAAGTTCTGACTGATGTTCTGGATATATAAGCAGAATTTTATGGATAAATTTGATGGGGATATAGGATGCATCCGAATGTATCGTTCCCCCTGGAACATATAAAGAGCTTCAGAGTTCCGGATAATCTTCTTCCTCCACGTACTCCTTGACTCGTCGGTAGCAGACAATTCTCCTTCAAACAATCCTCATGCGGACAATCCTCCTTTGAACAATCTTCCCGCGGACAATCATCTGACTGGCGGGATCTGGTCCATTCGGTCCTCGCTACACAAGGATCGTACCTGGGTCCGCCTTGCTTGATTTCTAGTTGGACCCCCAACAATTAAATGATAAAACTGATTCCATTTTGATCAACATCAACAATGACATTAATCCTAGCTCTGAAGTTCAGGTTAGGAAATAAGTTAGGTTAAAACAAAACGTCAGCTATTGTTGGTAAACAAACCGACAGCATTGTTGACAGCATTCCCCCATGCACTCAAAAATATAACTACCCACAAATCTAAAAAACCTACTACTGCTTGCACTTCCATTCTATTACCGAGAACCATGATTTTTCGATAAATTCCTTCCACGCTATTGGTCCTGACCTTTGGGTCCATAGTGATAAGTGTGTGAGTGATGGAATGGAAGCGCTCTGCCCCCCGTTGGCGAGACTGCCATACAATGAAACCCCTGGAAGCGGATCCTATTCTGATGGAGGAGGCTACTTGGATAGCGGAAGATAAAGCGTTTATTGTGCTGTACCTTTTGACTTTAGTTACTATGTTTTGTATAGTAAAGGGTGATACGGTCAAAATTTGGTCAAGGGAAAACGCGTGTAAATCGGTGAAATCGTTTATTTAAAAAATCAAATTAAATTTCTTTTCAAGTTCAATTAGTACAAAATTCAGGAAAAATATTCAGTTAGGCTTCCGCTTTTCCAAATCCGAATTGCCGGGCCTTACGCTTGACCCCTGCCATCAGATTTTGTACAGCCACCTTGTCCACCTTCTTCGCCGCAGAAAGCCAGTTTGCCTTGAACTGCTGCTCGCCCTTAGCAGTTTTTTTGGTCTTCTTTAGGTTCCGCTTGACAATAGCCCAGTATTTCTCAATTGGGCGGAGCTCTGGCGTGTTGGGAGGGTTCTTGTCCTTGGGAACCACCTGCACGTTGTTGGCGGCGTACCACTCCATGGCCTTTTTACCGTAATGGCAAGATCCAAATCCGGCCAAAACAGTACGGAACAACCGTGTTTCTTCAGGAAAGGCAGCAGACGTTTATTCAAACACTCTTTCACGTAAATTTCTTGGTTGACAGTCCCGGAAGCTATGAAAATGCTGCTTTTCAAGCCACAGGTACAGATGGCTTGCCAAACCAGATATTTCTTTGCGAACTTTGACAGTTTCATGTGCTTGAAAACATCTGCTACCTTTCCCCTTCCTTTTGCCGTATAAAACTCCTGTCCCGGAAGCTGCTTGTAGTCGGCTTTGACGTAGGTTTCGTCGTCCATTACCACGCAGTCAAACTTCGTCAGCATCGTCGTGTACAGCCTCCGGGATCGCGCTTTGGCCGTCGTATTTTGTTTATCATCGCGATTTGGAGTCACTACCTTCTTGTAAGTCGATAGTCCGGCTCGTTTTTTGGCTCGATGCACGGTTGTAGACGATACACCCAGCTTATTTGCGGCATCTCGGAGAGAGAGGTTAGGGTTTCGCTTGAAACTACCGACAACTCTCTTTGTCGTCTCAGCGGCTTCCGGTTTTCGATTTCCCCCCGATCCAGACTTCCTGGCTGTCGACAAACGTTCCCCAAACACTTTAATTACATTTGTAACGGTTGATTTGGCAACTTTTAGCGATTTTGCCAACTTTGCGTGCGAGTAGCTCGGATTTTCGCGATGCGCGAGCAAAATTTTGATACGCTGCTCTTCTTGCTTGGACGGCATTTTGACAACTGAAGAGTGAATTCCAAAATCAAAATAAGAGCAACATTCTACACACACACACCTTCAAAATGAGGGGTGTTCAGGTTTTTTAAATGCAAAATTGAAAGAAATACGTCAAGTTGATATTGACCAAATTTTGACCGTATCACCCTTTAAACAAGAATCCTCGGGTCCGTAAAGTTAATTCGATTGAGCCTTATCAAATAAATCAATAAACAAACAAACAATTATAGATTTTCATAAAAAGCATGCAGAATCTGCAATTTTTCACCGCATGACTAGATTCCGGACCACCCTAATGAGGACCACTGTAATTTTGGCCAGTACCAAAAGATGGGACTTTTTAAGCACAAAAACTTCACCGAAGGCACCAGGTTTTTCGTCAACGAATTAAACATTGTTCGCTTTAAATTTGTTAATTTGTTTGCTGAAATTTAGTTTCAAGTGTTCATAACGTTATAATTTAGTGATATATTGTGTTTTGCCTGTGTTTACCTTGAGTGACTCGGTTGACCTTGAATTTAACCTCCAAAATCTAAGGCACAGCTTCAGTTCCATTGTTCGGTGTCGGTTTTCATTGTCACGGAACTCACTAGCGACACTTTGCGAGCTATTTGCGCAAAAATAGCTTGATTTCCAAGTTTCAAACAATGTTGCATACAAGTTCTATAGAATGTATCGAAACGTCAAAGTTATCTGATGCCAGGTGGTGAATTCGCGAAACAAATAATATTTAAATTGAACGTTGAATGCGTGTACGAAGATTGAGGAGAAATAGTTATGTCTATTTGTATGTGCTTGATCTTTTTCTTGATGCGTAGATTTACAGTTATGCCCGTCTTTGTAGAATATACTAGGGTACAAATAGAAAAAAAATGTGTGACGAAATAGTGTCAGGTTTATAACGCGTATAACATATCCATTTATTAATAGATTTTAATTCTTATCACAAAATAAGATTCACATTTGATGTAAGATTGGTTTGAAATAAATATTATAATAGTTTATCATTGATAAACTATTGAAAATTGATCAAACTTTCTGGCCTTAATCAACCAACCACGTGCTTGCATGCTATGTCTATCGAGAGAAGTAATAAAGGAGCGTTCCTGCCGGTCATTTTTTTTCCTCTGTTCGGGACCTAACACTACTGCGACCAGTAAATTGATCTATTGTAGTATATCCCGTGTCCTTAGTTTAGTGGATGTCGTATTACTCCATCACTATTGAGAAATGATGAAGAATTCGATTTTTTTTTACAGTTGCCACTCTTGCATTTATCGCAAGGATCCGACTCTAATTGAAAGGTCCCGCTATTTATACCCTTCGGAGTGTTGAAACATCCTCCAAATGTGCGCCCCTTTGTCAATCAAAATTGGATTCCTTAGCAACAAAATTAAGGTATGACACCGATAATGACCATGCATCAGAACCCTAGTCTTAACCACTTCAAACTAGGGAACAACGAATAGAAGATTAGGAATCACATGGATGAAGACAACTAACTCATTTTTTTCCTTCTTTCAAGATCAGCCTCGGTAGACAAAGTCGAGTCTTGTCATTATCAACAAGGCATAAAAAGTAACAAGGACTAAGATGTGTTCCTTTGATTACTGAAAAATCCTGTTCCCCTAGTTTGAAGTAGTCGGAACTAGGAATTGGTGGTAGATCTTACATCCCGTAACGTACCACGAAAAGGTGATCTACCCACATTACGGGGCTGTCATAGAGCAAGCTGCATTTTTTTTTTGTAAAATACGAATATTGTGGTATATTTGGCAACCTGGTATTTCTGACAGCTTGAATGTTCTGGTTTACATTCACAACGGCGCCGTAAATGTCGAATATCATGCTCGAAAAGGATTCCTTCTACCGACGAATAAAACGCCTCTACGCCAACTGGAAGGAACCAGAGTTTTCCCATGATGATTCGCTGCAGAAGGTGGATTGCATTCTGAAGGCGGTCGGCGTAGGCGAGGAAACCATTTACGGCAAATCCACCAGCACCCGGTCAATAGGTTATCTACCAAACAAAACTCACTTGTACAATACCGAACTACTTTTCATGGCACAATCACACGGAATTTTTGATGGATCCATTCAACCTTATTAACTTACAATTTTTATTTTATTTAAAAAAAAATCTGAAACCACTGCTTCTTTGAGTTTCCCTATCCAACCACCATCACTGCATGATCCAATCCATCCTAATTGTTCATGCATTCCGGTTCGTAGTACACTCCATTTGCATAGTAGCTGAAAGACTTGTGACCGACATCGATTGCAATCGACAGCACTCGGAAGCCTACATTTCGAATTAAAATATGAACCGAGAAGTGAATTGAACAGCACGAAATGTTGTGAACAACTTCAATGACAGCTGTCCAGCAGTGCTCCCATTTTATTTATTTAACAATCCAATGCCTACGAGATTGTGCCGAAGGTGTGCCGAAGGATGGGCCCATGCTGTGCTGAATCAACTTTCGGCACACTGTGCTGAATGACTTACCCCTTGGTACCTGCACGTTTTGGTTCAGTTCGTCTGTGGATGTTACGGGGTTGTCACATCGTTCGTCTCTGTACAACGTTGAATTGCAGCACAACAACACCACAGAGCGGACGATACAGCATAAATCAAAACACGAAGCGGTGTCATAATTCAGCTACGGGAGTATTATATTGCGTTTGCATTCGCCGGTGTTGACAAATACCTTGAAATATTGGAATTGACCCCAGGCCTGCTGGGGTGAGAGGTTATCACGCTTGCCACTACACCACCGGCGCTGCTTGTAACGCTACGCTTGACAGGCCAATTTACATAATGGATAACAGAATATATACATATACATCATATACCTCGTCATATACATATTGTTGGGTATTTGACAGTATTTTTTAAACCGATGGCCATCATCTTGGATTCCAAAATGGCGTCTTGCAACGATATCCGGCCATTGCACATCAACATCCAGGCAGGCTTTCGAGGCATAGCATATTCAGGATGCTCGCATGCTAGTGTGTGCCACGTAGTGAGAGAGTTCTGAAATAATATGAACACCATATGGAAGACTGTGTTCATATGAACAACTTTGCTGAAGGTAGTAACCCAACTAACAATTTTCGCAATGTAAACGCTTTACTTATTTCATTCATACAGCCTCAAGCTGTATTCAAACTTTATACGATATGAGGGAACCTTTACTCAACTTCTATAAAAAAGCAAATCTGGCGAACTTAGTCAGCTACTGATGGCTGTTGGGATGGTTTGGGAAAACCTCTTATTGCATATCCATTTACGCTTCTATACAGCTGCTATCGTGCTGTTTAGTTGTGTGCGAACTTGGAAGGCGCTTATTTAAGCTTTTCCCAGTTATTCAATAATCACTACACAGCCGGGTTAAATATTGTTTACGGTTTTTAATGGAGGAATGCATTAAAGTTTAATTTGCTGCGTATCAATAAATCGAAATTAGTTATAATCACATCACCAAATTATTTACCCTGTACCGGAGCCTGGAATCAAACTCAAGGCGACTGCATTGGCAAACCTTGACCCTACCAACTTAGCTTACGCCAACACATTGAGCTGAAGTACAGGTTGTTCAGTTGCTGCAAGGATAAGAGGAAGGGTGATTCTACCTTCCTGGTTCAGTATCAGGTTGGGAACTTCATCAGCAACAGATTCCAATACAGCTTCCATAAAAGCTCTACGACACTCCCTTGTAGGTGGAATGGATGATATCTTCTTCAGAACAGCATTTGCAGAATCGTATACTTTCTTTTTCAGCAACTGCCAGGAATCTTCTACGGTACTCGATGAAACAGAGATCGGAACTGTTGGGCTCAGTTGAGTTTGAAACTATTTCTGAATATCAGGCCTCTTGAGCAGAGATGGATCTAATGTGAATTTCGATCTCGTGAATGCACTTTGTTCCAATAGAGCTTTGTCCGCAGTAAGAGCAGGTTTACACTGGCTTTCGACAATATTGCATAAAAGTAGCTAATGGTTGGTGGCTAGAATATTTGGCAACTTGCATTGTAGACGCCTGAGAAACAAACCGGATCGAAGGGAGGTTAGCAGATGATCTACCTCACTGCGGTGAATTCCATTGGACCACGTCCATCGAAAACTTGCATTAGAATTGAGCTGAGTAGAACGTACTGCCAATTCATGTAGACGAAGAAATAGTCGCATCTTCAAGCCATTCTCGTTAAAATGTTTGTGACTGGCGTACTTCCCTGTAAGTAGAGCCTTATCTGAATCCAAACGAGTACACGATAAATGACAGTTTAAGTCGCCTGCTAGGGGAAGGTATTGCGTGTCTTTCAGATGTTTAACAATAGTACCGAGTTTGCTGAAAAATTTATCGGCTCCTCGGTTAGGCCCGTGTACGTTTATAGATCCAATCGATGAAGAGATTCATCCATCTACTCAAGGATATATTATAATTACTCTATGAAAATAAGCTAAACATAAAAAAGGATACCTTATACGAAATTTCTGCATGCTGCATATTAGATACTCTTTTGAAAAACTGCGTGGACTCCATGATGACGAATCAAGATTGCTAGGCCTCTCTTTCTACTATTTGCTGGTCCACTCAATTGCCATCGGAAGTTAGAAGTTATAACGCACTGACACTGTAGGTTCACCTCTTGCAATACGGCTATATGCACACTTTGCGACATCAGTAAAGCATCGATGGCTTCACGTTTCTCCAAGCTTCGACATCGATTGACATTCAAGGATGCCAAGCGAAGACCTTGTGTTGGATCTATTGTAATAATGGGGTGCTCTATCATTTGAGAATCTGTTTGCTCCTTTCTGGTCACCTTTAGTGCAACCATCATTGGATCCGGAAGGCTACGTTGGTGAACAGTTGGATGTGACGGTGTTGGTTCCATATTTAAAACACTGCCATAAACTATAGATGACGGCCTTGTTTCCTCAAAAATATGAATCGACGAGCGGGAGGTCCCCACCGAAATGTCTCCAAACTGTTACAATCTTGTGTTGTTTCACTTGGGCGTATGCAGATAATGCTGTCATAATGGGTCTTAACAAGTCCGGATCCACATTAAAACAAATTAAATTGAGGAAGATCGGCGTTTTATGTATAAACTTGACAAACATACCTTGAATATGGTAGAAGTTACACTGTTGCATGATCTAACAACCACTGCCTGCAACTAGTGTTGGGAGCCGCAGGGCTAATATAACTCTAACACTAAAATGATCTCGAAGCTAACGCTCATGCATTGCATTTTTAGTTATAAGTAGTTTTGTTTTCCAACTTATCTATCCATTCTTTTTATACTTTCTAATAGACTGCCTAAGCTTCTTTTTCTCTGTTTTCATTAACTGTTGGTATTGTTATTACATTATAGCCTGAAAAATGCGTAAAAAGCAAATTAAAACATTGAACGTCGCGTTAAAGTGGAACTTAAGTAGTTTTTAGTTTTCGAATTTGAAAGATCGTCGGTTACAGTGGCTTGCTTACTGAGCAGAAAAACGCGGTCCCAGGTCCTTACATACCAACGAGATTTATGGTAAAACCGCTTGTGTATCGTGTGTTTTGCGAAACTTGTTGTTATCGTCGGTTCCGGGTTTGAATGGTTACAACAATTTGAGCAACGGTATGATGTGATATGAGGTGCTCAATGGCCTTAGAGCAACCGTTTTTGCTTACTGAGCAGAACATCATGAGTCTGATCTCAGGCCCATCCACATTCAAGATTCGTCAATCGTTTTATTTGTTAATATGGCTACATGGTAATAACAGCAACTCAGTGATTAAAGAGGTGCTCGTCTGCCTAGTGGAAAACGTTTTTGCTTACTGAGCAGAAGACCGTGGGTTTAGTCCGCGTTATATGATCGTTAGGACATCAATTCAGCTTATCGTTTACCAAAACGAATCCTGCTGCAAACCCAACCCTCTTATCCAACATCCCAGTGATTGCTCGTGAAAGTGCAGAGGTGTTCTCGGCTTCCATCAAAGCGAGTGTCATGTCAACACAATCCTTCCCATTCCTTTTTTGACCTGTGTTCGGGTATGGCCGGCGCTGGTATTGCCTAATTTAAGAACATCATTTTTTACACATTGAGGATGATTGCTAGACCCAAGCATCGTCTATTGGTAATCTGTGTAATTACAGCTGATCTGGCAATAACAGAGCAGCAACCGTGGGCGGTCAATTAAGCAAGCTCAAGCTCAAGCTCAAGTACAGGTTGTTCAGTTGTTGAAAAAGCACTTTTGATGTTTTTGTTATTCAGCTAGAGTGATTGATAAATTGAATAATGGTTGTGAAAAAGTTGAGTAAACGCTCTCCAAAACTGTTTTTCTAGCTTCTGCTTGTAGCTGTAAAGGGTGTCCACGATGAAATTGCCACACTATGCAATTGCTCTAACTTTTTAACCGTTGGGTAGAATTTAATGAAAATTTGGGTGGATTTAGTTCATAGTGCATTATTTACATCCTGCAAGTTTTAAAGTCCTGTGATCAAAACTCGCGGAAATGGAGTCGAAAGAACAGCTCGTGCGTGATAAAATCTTGCGCATTCATCACGAGAACAAGGATCTCTCGCATCGTTCCATCGCTAAAACGTTGGGAATCGCGAATTCCACGGTGTCGCGAGTGATTAAGCGGTTCGAGGAACGGTTGACCACCGATCTGAAGCCCAGAAGTGAAGGAAAAAGTATTCCGTACAACACCAAAAATCACAACCGCGTAGTTGGGGCCTTCAACCGAAATCCGAACGCCTCCGTTAGGGATGTGGCTAAGAAGCTGCACCTAAGCCGAAGTTTTGTCCAGAAGGCCAAAACTAAGGCTGGGCTTCGAACGTTCAAGGTACAAAAGGCCCCTAATCGCGACGAGAAGCAGAACAAGTCCGCCAAAACCCGTGCCAGGAAGTTGTACCTCAACATGCTGACGAAAGTTGAATGCTGCATCATGGACGACGAAACATATGTGAAGGCCGAATTCAAACAGATCCCCGGCAACCTGTTTTTCACGGCCAAGGATAAGTTCAGCGTTCCGGAGCATGTCCGCACTCAGAAGATGTCCAAATTTGCGAAGAAATTCCTGGTTTGGCAAGCCATCTGCACGTGCGGGAAGCGAAGTGCACCTTTCGTGACCCAGGACATGATGAACGGACAGGTGTACATAAAAGAGTGCCTCCAGAAGCGGCTGCTTCCTCTCCTGAAGGCCCACAACGTCCCAACAATATTCTGGCCGGATTTGGCCTCATGCCACTACTCCAAGGACGTGCTGAAGTGGTATGCGGACAATAAGGTCAATTTCGTGCCGAAAATGTTCAACCCTCCCAACACTCCGGAGCTCCGCCCCATCGAGAAGTACTGGGCGATTATGAAGCAGCACCTTCTTAAACGACCTAAGGTAGTGAAGACAGTCGAGGAACTGAAGAAAGTATGGGTCTACATGCAAAAAACGGTTGATTCACAGGTTGTGCAGAATCTTATGGCCGGGGTTAAGGCCAAGGTGCGGGCATTTGCGTATGGACTGTAAATAAAATACGAGTAAAATGGTAAAATGAAGTTTAATAGTTATTTCTAAATC